CGACCGAAGTTTTTTTCAGATTTTTTATTAGAAGTTAAACGTAACACTCATACGTGTGTTTGTTAACACTGTGTTGTAAATGTTAAAACCATGGAAAAGCCAAGAATCCATTTTTATTTCAGATAATTTATTAATTTATTTACATCAAAGCCTAATCACTATTTAGTGGTAATATTCGGGTTTGTAAGATCCATCATCGAAAAGTTTTTCAGTGATGTCATGAACGTAGGCGCCTTCAAGCCCGGATCCAGCTGGGGTCAAACCATAGGGAGAATTAGCCAAAGGGATAGCTCTCAATTCCTGCTTGTAGCTGCCATCGTCGTACAATTTCTCGTTGATGTCTTGAACGTAGGCTCCTTCAAGCCCAGAACCTGCTGGAGTCAAACCGTAGGGGGAAGCTGCCAAGGGGATGGCGCGCACTTCTGGCTTGTAAGAGCCGTCATCGTAGAGTTTTTCGGTGTTTTCGGCAAGATATTGTCCTTCAACTGCTGGGTATGCAGATCTAAGGAGAATTGGGGATGCGCCGTAGGTCAGAGCTGGGGCACCTACGTATCCGTAGGCTACTTGTCCAGCGCTAGCCATAGCGACGACTCCCAAGATAACAACTCCCTAAAGGAAAAAATTTGTATTAGTATTAATCGCATTAACATTTATGTAGTATGGCAGCAGCCTAAGAAAGACCAGATGCAATTATAAGGAAGATGGAAATACATGGACCAGCAATCCAGTAGGGCTTGGGTTTGTTGTATATGTTCGCTTTTGAGAAGCCGCAAACCAAATATGTTTATAAAAGCCATTTATCCGCGAAAATCGAATTAACCACGCTCTCAATTCGGAGAAAATCACGAGAACATGTTGGACACCAAGCTTATACTCGATTACATTTTTGCAAGTGAACAAAAATACGAACTTAGAAAAACCATGTTTAATAAGTTTTAAGAGAACATGTAAAGTTATTAAAAGTTTAAGTTGAGAATTTTAAAAGATAGCCCGAAGACATTTTACGTTATACAAGCCTGGGTTATCGGGAATCAAAAACCGCATTCAACGAACGCAAATACTTAAAATCCGGTAGAAAATCACTGAATGGCCCTGTAAAATTATGTTGTAAACCGCACTATATGCAACACCAGAACCAATTATAATTACGTAGGTTGACCACTTACACTGACGAATGCGTTCATTTTGATAGACCTTGTTGCTGTTCTGTACAAACCCGAACAAGTGATACCTAATACAGTTTCTTTTTCCAATTTATATGATTTTTGCAGCCTTGCCAATTGATCGCGCCCGAAATTTTGCGCGTACATTTTCGTTTTCGCGCTCTTCAGAAGCATTTCCGCAGGGCCTGCATTTTCTCCTCCATAAGCCGCGTATGTGAAGAGTACCTAATTTGTAATGACAATCAAGAAATTGAAATTTAAAATTTTATAATAAAAGCTTTATCATTCATTTCTAATCAGAACGATTAATCAGCTACATTATTTATCAGAATTTAATTTGAGTTTTTATGTAATGTTAAACATGTGTACTTGGCATGACTCTTAAGGTCTGCATAGGTTTCGTGATTTACAACTGTACTATACATTCTATAGTGATTATTATTAAAGTGCACCTCGTTCAAAAATTTATCATTTATTCTCGAACTATGGACAAATTATGCGCAATGGCGAAAATTGGCGCTTTCCATCAAAATTAATGAATAGGATAAAAATTTCGAAAGTGTTTCCCGATATTTATTCAACCATTTTTATAGAACCCAAATCCGTATATAAAAACTATCGAAATATCTGAAGTATTTGAATATCCACACAGTTCATCATTCACATTTGAAAATATGAAAATATACGTTTGCTTCTTCTTATCTTGAGAATCTTGATAGTCATACAATCACTTTTCCTATTTACCATTTCTGTATGTTAATATTTGTAATAATTACTAATTGTCCATATTTTTTGGAAGCACCAATAATTATATTTTAAGATGTAATCTATTCGAACTAAAACCAGCCTCCTGCACAAGAGTACGTTATGTTCGTTAATTGAAATCGATGACTAATAATTAATAATTGTCATAAAACATTTAATAAAATTACTGTGAAAAAGACAGGCTACTAAAGACAATTTAAAGTAAATCTTCAGTACTTCAAAAACCATTTATTTTAGCTAACTTGCTTTTTTAAAAAACACTATTTTTACTAGAGTTTATGTCTGTGCCATAAACACAGACAGAGCATTGGTAAACATCTCACTAAGACCAGTAAAAGGAGCTTTAGGAATGAAAAGGCAATAAATACAGCCCAATACACTTTTATTTGACCGCCATACTATAAAATTTTATGCGCTTTAATCTAATAGCCGGAAGGAAATTATGTGTATTTTTCATACAAAGTTTTCAAAAGTTTTCCTGTATTTCTCCCCGTTGCCCGGAACCCGATATATGAAGGCTGACTTGGGTTATTCTCTGTTCCTGTGGCCTCAACAATATCTATCGATGCCTACAAAAATAACCATAACATGAAAATGTTACATATTTACTAAGCCCTGTTGTTAAGGTTTGGGATAACAAATTTGGAAACAAATTGCTAAATTTTTATAATACATAATACGTTTCAGACACCAGCGCTTGTAGAATTTATAATTTTAACAAATTTAATTCTTAAAAATAACACAAAATGTACACACTTCTAATTAAAGCAACTTCTAATTAAAACAACAAGCATTTTTAAATTTATGAATTAATAAGCTAAGTAATTTTATTTTTGATGATCATCATTTAAATATAACTTGTTTGCACTGCATGTATTGTTTGTGGTAGCTCGATGGTAAACACAGATTTTATATTGTCCCAGAATTATATGTTTAATATCGGTAGTGAAACACCAAAGTTCGTAAACTAAGCGCCTTTTATAGGCCCATGTAACTTGTGATGTTTGGATTCGTTTTATGCTTCTTTGGTTAATTTGTATTTTTAATCTTCAGTCATCTCTTGATTGTCTGTGTGAATACTGTTAGCTACGCTATGATTAAATGTGATTTGGCTGAGGGTGAATCAAAAAAAATATGTTTATATATCTTAACGCCTCTCCATAAGTATGAGAGTAAATGATCTATTCTTCAGATTAAGATGTCCCTAATACGAATTAATACTATGCAAAAGTGGTATTTTTTCCTTTCTTGTTAATAAGTATTGAACTGATTTCATTTAGCTTAATTATATAAAAATAAGACTCAACGATTTCAACAAAAACAACGCTGGTGTATATATTTTTCAGTTTACCACCAATAACATAAACTAACTAGAATAACGCATATATTAGCGCTACCATTATTTATCATTTCTAGCTCGTTATATCATATAATTTTATGAATGGAGAAGATTTTTACAACTTGCTATTCACGTTACGTTCATTCAATCGACGGTATCATCATCACGAATTGCGGTGAATAAATCGCTTCATGCTGCGATCGTCGAGTCATTGTACCACATTAGAATTAGATTATAGTATCTATTAATGAAACTGAAAACTTAAAAGTAATTGCTATAGACTGAGAATAAATTGAGGCAAAGGACATTTGCCAAAATTGCTCTTCTTTGAAAATTAATTTATAATTGAACTTGCGTCTTTCTGTTACATGCATTATTGAAGAAACAATATTTGACAAAATATGTGTTTTTTTAATCTAGCGCTACCTGTCTTATTTGTCTTATAAATTCGTAATACGCAAGATAAGAAGAAATTTAATAAAATATGTAAGGCAATCAAAGCAAGCTGTTTGCTCAGTCTTTGATCAAACAATACTGAATATAAAGGGCTCCTGGCCAATATGGATGAAGATGGAAGCAGACAAGCAAGACATGTTTCTTGGCAATATTTTTACAAACAAAAAGTGATACATATACCGGTTAACATTTGCTTTTTCTATAATTAAATGTTTAGTCCCTGTATCAGTTATGTGGATAAACTTGATTTAAAATCAGAAACCATATATTTATTGTAAAATGTCAAGGCTAAAATTTCAAGTTATTGTCTTCGAACGAACTTGACTTGCAGTGATAGCAAATGTTGGAGACAAAAATGGGAATGTGTGAACGACAAAAAGTTGCATTAAATTTTAGATTGGCTCATTATGATTAAACGTTTAGCAAGGCCGATTGATTTGCCCACTCGGTTATTGCAAACGGTTTGATCCCATAGATCGTAGCAAAAAATATTTCATTAGTTTTAAAAGTTTGCATTACATACATACGGTCTTTTGCTGAAAAACCCCTTATAGTGATTTGTATTATTTGACACGAGTACAGGATAATTCTTAAATTGATACATTTCTTTAACTGTATATTAAATAGATTTTTTGCATTGTGCATCCAAATATGTGTAAAGTGTTATGAAGTGTGTGACGCAGAATGTTTTGGATGGAGACACAATATTTTTTAATATCGTCTGTAGTTGCACCCTCAGCAACCTTAAAGATATAATTATTTATTCATATCTTCACCATTGCGAATATTACCATTGACTCAATTTTCTCAGCTGCGAAAGAAAGGGCACAGTCGGAAAAGCCCACTTTTATCAGAAGCATAAGACGTACATTTTATTTGTTTCGCGTATTTGATTAAATTCTGGAACACTTAGTGTTATATATTTGAACGTTCGTATATCAGAAAATTGCAAATAAAAGAAATTTTCCCCGTTGTTTAACTTAACGTAACTTTTGGGGTTAGTCATAACAATTCATAACAGTTTATTGCATAATTTACCAACTCATTAACAAGCAGTGTTTTAAGCCATTTAAATGAGGCAACAATACAGTTGTGCATTCTGACGAATATTTTCATTGAAACTGCTGCTCAGTGACATTGATGATTTGGACGCTTAACTATTTCAGACTTTCACTTGCCAAAACTCAAAGAAGAAAAGCGATTACATTGCAACTAATGTTCCACAATCTGATTCGACCTTCCATTTCAGATCCGATTCTCTCATTTTTCTCCGTAATCTCGTGGACAACTTACTCGCCTTGCACTAGAATAAAAATATTAAAATAAATGGTCCGTTAAGTAACTGGCTGCTTTTGATCTTCAACGTTGCACTGCTAATAGGGAAAAGTTGACTAGTTTAGACCGAGTCATTGTTTGTTCCACTAAGCCCTTGAACACGATATTAACATATTTAAAGGCAACTTTAAAGAACTGAAATTGGTTCAATATGTTAATTAAATTAAATGGAAGCATTAGTTTGAATTTAGTTATGCTTGTTTTTAACATTAATGTCTGTTTACTTCATCAATTTATTTATGTTTTAACGCTTCATCTTATTCCTAATTGCTTGTGTGAGTAGGAGGATTTATTAACTTAAACTACTTTTGGAGCTACTTTCTAGCTTTTCTACTTTTTAGCTTTTACTAATTTATTAAGAGATCAATCTGATCTGAAAACATAATAATTCTGTATACGCTTTTGTTGAAATTTGGTTTTCGGTCTATATACTTGTACGCACAGGGGCGAATCCAGCTTTCAAGTCAGGAAGGGATCACGTAGTAGGAACTGAGTATTTTGTTGTCTATGAAATTAGGAAAATTATCGTTAGCCGACATAACAATATCAGACATTTAGGTGCAAGATTATGCTAAAATTTCATGTTTTTCGTTCCCTTTTTGCTCATTTATCGGAGCAATAGAACGCTCATTTCTACATCACACCAGAGAGAACTAAATGACCTTTTTATAAAGTTAACAATTGATAAAGAAATGTAGGCAGTTTTCTCAAAAACGGCTTGATTTCCAAAAAAAATTTCTACGTGTTTTTATTTAGTTGCAAAATCGACTCGAACATGACGGTGCTTTTTTCAATGTTTCTCAAAAACCATTGGAGCCACAGAATTCGTTTTGGCATCGTTGAATAGAGAATTGAAAACTCGATTAAAACGACATGAGTGAGGATATTCGAGCAGTTTTGACCCAGAAATCGAAATTTAACTTAAAAGACCATAGTTTTCTATTAAACTTGAGCGTTTAGTTTAGTCTTATTATTATTATTTTTTTTACAAACTTCTTTTTGGGTATTTCGCCTCAAAATTTTTTGTCTTTAAAAAAGACAGAATTTCCTCACATTTTTTATTACAGATTGATAAATAGTGATTATTATTATTATTAGACTCAAATCACCCGATAATGGTTAAAAACGGTATCGTAAAAAGTCTATATGATGAGCAAAAATAATTTGCAATCAATCTAATTTTTCCAAAGAAAAACAATTTATAAAAGAAATTCTAAATTTTAATAATTGTCCAAATTTTTTTATTGAAAAATGTTTTAACGAAATTGAATTCTCACGAACAAAACAAAATCAAAATAAACCTATAACGAACCTTTTCATTCCATTTATTCCAGGACTTTCAGATCAAATTAAACGAGTAGGTAAAAAATTTAATATTAGGACTATCTTCAAAACTGAAAAT